TTTAAGAAACCTACTCTTCTTTACGGCCGAGGCGTCGTCGTACCTAGCTAGGTTAGCGATTTCGTCTCGATATCGATATTTAAGGAGCGAAAAGTAAGTAAGATTAAGTAGCTATAGAATATAACTTAAATAAGGTATTAAATAGACTAGAGTAATTCGATTTATATAATATTTCTATATAAACTCGTATATTATATAACTTTTATATCTATCGAGTAGAAGTAGTCGATAGTCGTTCGTTACCGTTTATAGGATAAGTATTTAACGTAGCTAGGCTAATCTAATATTATTTAAGGTCTATCTATTAGGTGAAACCGTATAGGAATAGTTAGGAGTATTAGGGTCGGTAAACTAGGTCGTTTCAAGCGCTTTTCCTTTAAATATAACGAGATATCGTAGTCGACGGCTATTTATAGAAATAGTCTCGATAATTAAGACCTATTTACGGTTTTCTAGTATTACTTTATATAATTAAGTAGTATTAACTCTACTAATTACTCGTTAATTAGTATAGATACCTAGAGCGATGCCTATCTCGTCTATATTATAGATATTCTCCTAGGAAACTTAATATCGCTCTCGTACGATATTAAAATACTTAAACTAGCGATTTAGGGACTTAGGAGTAGTACTCTAGAGACGTAATCTATAGATCTTTTTACCTACTTTAGAGCGAATCTCTAGATAACGTTATATAAATCGTAATATCTAGTTTTAGCTAATACTTAAGGGCCTCGTAGAATTATCTTAAATAATTATAACGAGATCTCGTATTTAAGTAAAGCTAGGAAGGTATTCTTACGCCTTAAGGTCGAGTATCCATCGTATAAGTATTTACTCTTATTTATTTAATAATATCTATTATAGTTTACGAGTAATTACTCGTAAAATACTACCTTATAGTCGACGGCCGAGGCTAACGTAATTTATATTATTTACCGCCGCGGTAGCGCGAATACTCGTATATCGGCGATTTTAGTAGTCGGATATCGCTTAGAGTATCCTAGTCTCTCGATTTAATACTATTTTATTATGTAAATATATTAATTAGTAGAGTAGGATAATATAGAGGAGGAGGGAGTAGTATTTAGAACACGTAAAAACGCGTATTTTATTACTAGTGTATTTTATTACGTGGTGCCTAGACTTATAATTAGCGTTACCTAGATAGAAGTAGGATTATTATAGAATCGGTGGACCTAGCCTATAATTATTATGCCGTATAAGATAACTATAATTACTAAGTTTATAACCTAGTACTCACCGCTATATACTAAATATACCGCGAGCGTCGGAGAGCTTTTAAACTAGCTATTTTATACTATATTCTATCTCTCGTAGTCTCTATTTTATAGAGAATCCTATATTAAGTATATCTCGTCGCTTAAGTCGTAAACCGACGCCCTTACGGCGCGCCCGCGAGGTACTCTCCTATATTATTACGGGTTAAACTCGTAGGGTATCTTAGTAAGAACTAGCGATATTAAGATTCGACCGTATATATTATAATCCGAGCTACAAGTAGTTCTAACTAAGATAGAGTTCCTTAATAGGGTAGGTACTAGAGTATTAACTAAGATAATAAAGGGAATACTTAATCGTCGGACTATATCCTAAAATATAGGTACAGGATTACTAACGAAGTTAACTACGAACTATACTATCTAAGTAAAGAAGCGTATATATATAATACTTAAAGTACTATACTAAAGTACCTCTAGGGTTACGTAATATAGCCTCGTTCTCTATCGACTAACCTTCTAATAACTATTCTATAGAACGCGGGGCGCCTATCCTAGCGACCTTATTCGTAACCTAGTTCGTAATACTATTCCCTTCTTTTATCTACGTTATTCTTAATATACTTAAAATAGTCGCCCTCCTCCCTTCTATTATAAATCTTATTTCCTCCTTATAGCTAACTATATCGCCTTTAGATATTAGGAAGTACCGACGATTCTCTAAATTCGTACGTAACTAGAACGCGCGTCGCCTCGAAATTACGAACGCTA